CTCAGCCTCAGCCTGCCTCAGCCTCAGCCTCAGCCTGCTTCAGCCTCAGCCTCAGTCTGCCTTCAGCCTCGGCCTCAGCCTCAGCCTGCCTCAGCCTCAGCCTGCATCAGCCTCAGCCTCAGCCTCAGCCTGCCTCAGCATCAGCCTGCCTCAGCCTCAGCCTCAGCCTGCCTCAGCCTCAGCCTCAGCCTGCTTCAGCCTGAGCCTCAGTCTGCCTTCAGCCTCGTCCTCAGCTTCAGTCTGCCTTCAGCCTCAGCCTGCCTCAGCCTCAGCATCAGCCTGCCTCAGCATTCAAAGTGTGGCCCGGGAATGGAGTTCTGGGAACTCGAAGAACACGAAATGGCCTACAGTTGGCTCCGGGCATTCAAAATCATGCCCAGGAATGGAGTTCTGGGAACTCGAACACCACGAAGTGGCCTACAGTTGGCTCCGGGCATCCAAAATCATGGCCCGGGAATGGAGTTCTGGGAAATCGAAGAGCACGAAGTGGCCTACAGTTGGCTCCGGGCATCCAAAATGTGGCCCGGGAATGGAGTTTTGGGAACTCGAAGAGCACGAAGTGTGTGACTGTTGCATCGGCCCTCCAGAATGGGAATGGCGTTCTCGAAGAGCACGAAGTGTGTGACTGTTGCATCCGGTTATTCTAAAGGTGGCCCGGGAATGGCGTTCTGGGATCTCGAAGAGCACGAAGTGTGTGACTGTTGCATCCGGTTATTCAGAATGAGCCTGGGAATGGAGTTCTGGGAACTCGAAGAGCACGAAGTGTGTGACTGTTGGTGAAAAACGAGCGGGGCCCCCTGCCGCCCGGCAACTCCCAACACCTGCCCGGACCCCCCTGTGGAGTGATCTGTGAGCTCTTTTTACCCCACTAGAAACCTATCAGTCTTCGCTGTTAGGTAAAAATGCAAAAAAAACGCTTAGTTTCCTTTGGTGTTTGAAGGATTTTGACGTGTGCTTCTTTTGGAGCCTTCCGACGGCCCGAGACGGGCCCAAGAGCCCCCAAAGATCGCTCAAAGATCGCCCAAGAGGCCTCCAAGATGGCCCCAGAACGGCCCAAGAGGCCCCCAAGACGGCCCCAAGAGGCCCCCAAGACGGCCCAGGAGGCCTCCAAGACGCCCAAGATGGCCTCCAAGACGGCCCTGGAGTATTCCAAGAGGGCCACAAGTCGGCCCAGAAAGGCCCCCCAAACGGCTTCCGACGGCGTCGGACGGGCCAGAGGCCCACCAAGACGGCCGAAGATGGCACTAAGATGGCCCTAGACGGCCCAAGAGGCCTCCAAGAGGGCCTCCAGGAAGGCCCGAAAAGGCCTAAAGCATAAATTTCCCATGAGTTTTTGAAGGATTGTGGCATTTGCTTTCTGTCGACCTTCCGACGGCCCGAGACGGCCCAAGTGCCCCCAAAGATCGCCCAGGACGCCCAACACGGCCCCAAGAGGCCCCCAAGACGGCCCAAGAGGCCCCCAAGACGGTCAAGATGGCCTCCAAGACGGCCCAAGAGCCCTCCAAGACGTCCTCCATCCAAGAAGGCCCGAAAGGGTCAAAATGGCCTCCAGACGGCCAAGATGACCTTCAAGATGCCCACGTGTTCCCCGAAGGCTTTCCAAACCGATTCGGGGAACACATGGTCCGATAGCTTGGCAGGTCTGGCCTCAACGTTCGGCCACATACGCGCGTCCACAAAGGCAGCGGGCGGCGGTGATTCGCCGTAGGCGTCTTCGATCCGCCGCCCCCTGTCGATTCATCGCAGGGGTGCCTGGCGTGCTGAGTCCTTTCGGTTTGGGCGCTGGTTCTTTTTCCAAAAGAACTCTCCCTGGGCCCTCCGCCCGTCCCGCCGGCCACCCGGAAAGATTGCCCAGGATCCCAATTCCCAAATGTTTCGCTCAAGATGGCCCAAGATGGCCTCCAAGATGCCTCCAAGACGGCCACGATGGCCTCGCAGACGGCTAAGATGGCCCCAAAATGCCTCCAAGACGGCCCAAGATGCACCCAAGACGGCCCAAGATAGCCTCAAGATGGCCCGAGACGGCCCAAAAGCCCCCTAAGAGGTCTCCAAGACAGCCCAAGAGGCCTCCAAGAGGTCCTCCAGGAAGGCCCGAAGAGGCCAAAATCATTTGGGGATTTTGGCATTTGCTTCTTTTCGGCACTCCGACGGCTCAAGACAGCCCAAGAGGCCCCCAAGATCGCCCAAGATGCCCCCAAGATGGCCCCATGACGGCCCAAGAGGCCTCCAAGACGCCCAAGATGCCTCCAAGACGGCTAAGATGGCCCCAAGATGCCTCTAAGACGGCCCAAGATGCACCCAAGACGGCCTGAGATGGCCTCCGGATGGCCCAAGACGGCCCAAGAGGCCCCCCAGAGGCCTCCAAGACGGCCCAAGAGGCCTCCAAGAGTTCCTCCAGGAGGGCTCGAAGAGGCCAAAGTCATTGATTGTCCTTTGGTGTTTGAAGGATGTTCGCATTCGCTTCTTCTCTGCTTTCCGACGGCTCAAGACGGCGCAAGAGGCCCCCAAGATGGCCCAAGAGGCCTCCAAGATGGCCCCATGACGGCCCAAAAGGCCCCCAAGACGGCCCCAAGAGGGCCCAAGAGGCCTCCAAGACTGCCAAAATGGCCTCCAAGACGGCTAAGATGGCCCCAAGATGCCTCCAAGACGGCCCAAGATGCACTGAAAACTGCCTAAGATGGCGTCAAGATGGCCTATAACGGCCCGGGAGGCCCCCAAGAGGCCTCTAAGACGGCCCAAAAGGCGTCCAGGAGGTCTTCCAGGAGGGCACGACGAGGCCAAAATCATTGATTGTCCTTGGATGTTTGAAAGATTGTGGCATTTGTTTCTTCTCGGCATTCCGACACGGCTGAAGACGGCGCAAGAGGCCCCCAAGATCGCCAGAGGCCTCCAAATGACGGCCCAAAAGGCTCCCAAGACGGTCAAAGAGGGCCCCAAAACAGCCCACGAGGCCTCCAAGACGCCCAAGATGGCCTCTAAGAATTCCTGATATGCCCCAAGAGGGCCCAAAACGACCCAGACAGGCCCCCTAAGACGGCTTCCGACGGCGTCAGACAAGCCAGGAACGCCCTAAAACGGCCAAAGAGGCCCCCCAGAAGCGCCCAAGGGTCCCCAAAAGCCCTCCAAGAGGCCCCCAGGAAACTCCCAGGACGCCCCAAGAGTGCCTCAAGAGGCGCCCAAGAGGCCTCCTCCTCCTCCTCCTCCTCCTCCTCCTCCTTCCTCCTCCTCCTCCTCCTCCTCCTCCTCCTCCTGCTCCTCCTCCTCCTCCTCCTCCTCCTCCTCCTCCTCCTCCTCCTCCTCCTCCTCCTCTTGTTTCCTCATCCTCCCCCTCCTCCACTTCTTGCTCTCCCATGTGTTCCCCGAAGTCTTTGCAAACCGACTCGGGGAACAACTGGCTCGATAGCTTGGCCAAGCTCTGGCCCAGCTGTCGGCCACAGAGGCGCTTCCAAAGGGGCAGGGGGCGGCGGTGATTCGCCATAGGCGTCTTCGATAATTGATAAAAGCATGCAAAACAAATGCTGGATCTTTCGAGCCGGATCGATCTGGGGCATGAGCCCGTCCAAGCAAAACAATCGCATTGGACTTGAAAGCATAGGAAGGCGAAGGAGTGCTCAAGCATTTGCTTTCGAAGGTTCCCGCGGGCCTCTCGGATCGGCGCTGGGCCCCACCCCCCGCACCCCCGCGCCCCGTGCGGCGCTGGAGGCGCCGCCCAGGGGTGTGGGGAGGAGTGCCCTGCGCCGGCCGAAGAAATCCGCGCGGATCTCCGCCGGCCCTCTGGGCGTAGGAGTTTACGAACGCTTGTTCTTCCAGCTCGACTGCTCCCCTCGGGAGGCGGTCCACCACTGCTCATTCCAAGGGGGATTCAAGGGCTGGGTAGAAGCACGAGGTGGGGTCAGAGGAAAATCGCTAAACACGGCCGTGTCAAAGGAACTGTGAGTACCCAGCTGGATATATTCCCTAGCCCCACCTTGCGATAACCCCCCACACCCCATTCCCGCCACCCCGTTATATCAAGACACGATACACAGCGCACGAGGGCGGCAAGACATGGATCGCAAGCGGGCACGCCGCGAGCACCCTGCATTGGTTCGTGACAGGCATGGAGGGGTGCTAATGTTCGGCCGCTGTGTGCTGGAACACTGTCCCTGATAAACAATTAGAGTACCCCTACGGTGGGGGCATTGGATAAGGCAACCTTAGATAAGAAATCCAGGGTCTGGAGGCCGGTGGAATTCCAATCGATGCTTGGCCATGGATATCACCGCCGCCCTCATGAGACAAGGAATCCTCCAGGGTCTGCAGCCTCCTGGGCGCATTCCTTAACCAACGCCCCCACCGTAGGGAGGGGACCTAGTTAGAAGGGCCAAGAACATTAGGGATAAGGGATCTGTTTTGCAGATGTGACAGACGAAGCCACCCATATGTTTAGGGATATCCCTGAAAACCGTGGGCCGATGGTCAGAATCTAAGCAACGAATTCATTGTGGTATCAAGGTTAGGGGCTGCATTGTGCAATGAACCCCGATCCAAGACGAATGCAGATTGCTTGCGGGTGCCGACGCCGCAAAATCATGCAGACCACCCCGCCACCACTCTAGAGCTGGTCTGGTTTGACAGGGATGATGCGGGTGTCGACACGGACGATTTCGGCAACCCTGAACCCAAAAACGTTACGCCTCCTGGGGGCGCATCTTCTACTTCCACAGGCTTCCGCCGGCCGTCTGCCACCTTCCGCCAGCGGAGCCACCCTCGTCCTACTCCCGCTGGCTCCCGCCCGCGGGCCTTGCGCCGCCTTCCGGTGACGGAGAGATGGCAACTCCTGAGCCCCGCGGACGCGAGGCCTCATCTGGAGCGGCGCCCCACAGCTTGCCCGCGGTGTGCTGTCACGTGCACTGGCGCGCCTGGCGCCCTCCGCGCGCGTCACGCATCTGGCGCACCTGGCGCGGCAGGGGCAGCAGCGGCAGCGGCAGCAGCAGCGGCAGCATCAGGCCCGAAGGAGCCTTCCCCGCCCTGGGCCGGCGGCGCTTCGGCGAGGAGGCCCTCGGAGCAGTGCCGGCAGGGTCTGCGGATGACGCCGAGGCCCCTCGGGCCGAAGGCTCCTCGCCAGCCGCGGCCCCTGCACTTGCTGCAGCTAGCGGCAGCGGCGCCGCTGGCCCCTCGGGAAGGCAAGTTCTCATCGGCTTCCTCCTCCTCCTCCTCCTCCTCCTCCTCCTCCTCCTCCTCCTCCTCCTACTCCTCCTCGTCCTCCTCCTCCTACTCCACCTCTTCCTC